GCAGACCTTCCCCGCCCCCTGTCTCCTATTCCCTCCCTTCGCCCCACCATTCCCTCCGTTTCCCGTTCCTCCACTTCCCGTTATTCTCCCATTCCCCGTTCCCGCATTCCCCGTTCCGGGTTTTAAAGATAGCCGGTTTCAGTCTATTTCACGTTTTTCGACAGAGAAGACGATCTTTTTGCCTGTATTCAATCTACAAACACTAAAAACAAGTCTACTAGTCGTATTTTACTCGTATTCTACTCGTATGTACTCGTATGGACTTGTGTTTTACTCGTATGTACTCGTATGTTACTCGTATGTTACTCGTATGTACTCGTATGTTACTCGTATGTACTCGTATGTTACTCGTATGTACTCGTGTGTTACTCGTATGTTACTCGTATGTACTCGTGTGGTGTTTTAGTCACGATCTATGTTCATGTTGTAAATGCCTTATTGACATAGGCGTACGAGACAGGGGCGCGGGGGGCGGGGGGGAATGGCCCCCAAAATTTTGGAAAACCATGGAAATTCGGGCAAACGCTGGGAAAAATCAAGAAAATTCGGGCAGATTTATGAGAAAATATGTTAAAATCAGGTTATTTCTTTACAATCCATAAAAATTCGGGCAAACTTTCAACAGCCCCCCCCCCCCCCGAAAACATCAGTCCCGCTCTCCTATACGTATTGATGGATTTCAAAGCCTCGCACGACGTAGTTAAAGTAATTCATTAATATAGAATAAAGATTTGTATGTTCTAAGACTCTAAAAAGGTTTAAATGTAGTACATTGCTCACAGGCTGTCAGAGAGTTTTTGTAGTACATGAAAGTGCATGTTTGCCATGTTGTTTATACGTCTGTAGTCTATGTGTTTTGCAAATTTAATACGTCAATTGTACACCTGTTTTCAACAGGGAAATATAAAATACTTAGGGTTCTTAGGGGAGCTGGTGGATTCTAAAATTCAAACAGCATAATAAAAATGACCCTCCCTTTTAATGTGTTTAAAAATGTAGTCCGCCCCTTTAGAACAGTCTGAAAATTTTTCACCCCCTCCAACATTAAAGTTAAGAAGAACATAGTATGGCCGTATGGTAGTTCTTCCCATCCTATTCTTTTGTGTGCTCTTTACAACCAGGGGCGTAGAGAGGACCTTCAACTTGGGGATGCTGGACAGGATTTAGCCAACGGGGGGGGGGTGAAATAAAATCCAAATCCACAATATAATTGTGTATAACCTTGTCTAAGTAAGTAGATATGGCCCCAAGAAGAAAGGGTTTACTTTGGGTTTTTAAATGCAAACTATATTTACCTTCAATCATCATTCGGTTTTAAAAGTAATTCGCATTATTTTAACCCATCATTTTCCATTACGAAAAATCATGTCTTTTATGCATTATACAGTCTTCGGACTTATGCAAACTCACACCCCAAAATGCAGGAAATCGCATTTCAGGGACCCTAGATTTCAAAATATTCTGGGGGAGCATGCCCCCAGACCTCCCCTAAAATGGCTCACGCCTTTTACGCTGGCTACGCCACTATCTCTATACCATATTCTTTATATCAATGCTATAAAATTTAATTGTCTCCCCAAAACACTTCTTCAAAAGATTTAAACCACTCTTTTACACCCACAAAATATATCCTCCCCCCCTCAATTATTTTACTAGCCCCCCCCCCAACCGATAAATTATGAACCCTAAGCATTTTATATTTCCCTGTTGAAAACGTATTAACAGGTGTACAATTGACGTATTAAATTTGCAAAACACATAGACTACAGGCGTATAAACAACATGGCAAACATGCACTTTCATGTACTACAAAAACTCTCTGACAGCCTGTGAGCAATACACTACATTTAAACCTTTTTAGAGTCTTAGAACATACAAATCTTTATTCTATATTAATGAATTACTTTTCCTACGTCGTGCGAGGCTTTGAAACCATCAATATGCATAGGAGAACGGGGCTGATGTTTTCTGGGGGAGGGGGCAGTTGAAAGTTTGCCCGAATTTTTTATGGAGAATTGTCAAGAAATAACCTGATTTTAACATATTTTCTCATAAATCTGCCCGAATTTTCTTGATTTTTCCTAGCGTTTGCCCGAATTTCCATGGTTTTCCAAAATTTTTTGGGGCAGTTGCCCCCACCCCCACCCCCCTGTCTCGTACGCCTATGTCAAATAGGCATTTGCAACATGAGCATAATATGAAGCCAAAGTGAAAGTGTGAAAGTGAAAGAGAAACTTTAAAGAAAGCGTGCTAATTCTCGTATTTTACTCGTATGTACTCGTATTTTACTCGTATGTACTCGTATTTACTCGTATGTACTCGTATGTTACTCGTGTGTTACTCGTATATACTCGTATGTTACTCGTATGTACTCGTATGTTACTCGTATGTACTCGTATGTTACTCGTATGTATTCGTATGTTACTCGTATGTACTCATATGTACTTGTGTGTTACTCGTATGTTACTCGTATGTTCATGAAAATATAATTTTTTTGTGTAACAAAATCTACAACACTTGTCAATCATATTGCATGCTGTGTCTAAAAATAACATGTGAGCGTCCACCGTCTAGACAGGTTTTGTGTCAGGCCCTATTTAAAATTAGGGCCTGAACTTCAGGTTAAGTTAGCATGTTCTCATAGGTTGATATATAATTACAGTAACTAAGATTTCCGATTATACGCCACGCCTCCAAAAAACTTCTTATGCTAGGAGCGGTCATCTCATTGGACGATTCTATATGTAATTGACGTTTCAGCAAGAATACTGGCAAAGGATTCGATAACTTTGATCTCTCACGTCACTTTCCTGTGATATTGCTCGAAACCAAATACTGTACCGTTTCGTTCCTGCGGGGAACGAAACAAAAAATAACCGCTGGAAAAATGTGATCACACTGTTCAGCGGTTTCACTTTCCATTTCGGTATCATCTAGCGCACAAAACCTTGAATTGAAATGTACTGCGAGGTACTGTCAGTCAAAAAGACTCCGACATATTCTTCAAAATTTGGAGTTCTTTCCAATTTCTTTTATTGTAAATTATTAAGAAAAAACCTTTTTGTGGTGAGAAAAGGAAAACTTGAATCTAATCATGTCTGATCAGTACGAAGAGAGGCATAAAGGAACACACACTATAGGCAAAGTTGGCAAACATTATGAATGTGATGTTTGTAAGAAGAGATTTCGGCAATCAGGTAATTTAACTGTACATAAAAGAACACACAGTGGAGACAAACCTTATGAATGTGATGTTTGTAAGAAGAAATTTAGGCAATCTGTTAATTTAGCTGTACATAAAAGAACACACACTGGAGACAAACCTTATGAATGTGATGTTTGCAAGAAGAGATTTAGACATTCAGGTAATTTAACATCACATAAACGAACACACACTGGAGACAAACCTCATGAATGTGATGTTTGTCAGACGAGATTTAGCCAATCAGGTAGTTCAACTACACATAAACGAACACACACCGGAGACAAACCTTATGAATGTGATGTTTGTAAGAAAACATTTCAAAGGTCAGATAATTTGGCATTACATAAAAGGACACACACTGGAGACAAACCTTATGAATGTGATGTTTGTGAGAAGAAATTTACACAATCAGGTCATTTAACTAAACATAAAAGAACACACACTCGGGACAAGCCTTATGAATGCGATGTTTGTAAGAAACAATTTTCCCAATTGGGTAGTCTTAATTACCACAAGAAGGGGCGTTTGTTTTGTCACTCTTGCAGCAGAGAGATTATTCAACCGCAAGAAATACAAGAACAATTTGTTGAGGATAGAAACACTGGAAAGTATGCTTGTAACAAATGTAATAAACAATCGTCTGGTTTCATGATATTGGTTCGACATGTGGCAAGGCAACATGGTAATGATGGAAACTATCAATGTGCTTTATGTCAAGAACTGGAATCGACAGAACCAACTGGTGTTGGATATGTTTGTTGTTTGTGCGATGTGGTGTTTGATGTTCCCAGAGACCTGGAAGATCACATGGTCACCCATGACTGATCAATCTGAATATTGTTGCCGGCTTTGAGTATAGAGTAAATCTATTTACCAAGTCAAATCCGAGTCAATTCAGAGCCCGAGTCAAACGTCTGAGTCACGTTAAAAAAGACAAAATTGAAAAAATTCATAATCGAATAGGGTTTAAGGAATAAGGTTAGGGTACTAAGTCACTGAACTACAAAGACCGCTTAACAGTGACTCAGACATAATTGACTGGGCCCGGATTTAATTAACTCGGTTAACCGACAAACTTCGAAATTGAATAAAATTCATAATCAAATAGCGTTAAGCCTGGTTCACATATATGCCTGCGACGTGCCTGCGACGTACCGGCGACGATGCCGGTGGTAGCTTAAAACGTGAATTATGTGAATATTTGTTCACCGATTGTATCCAGTGCCACAGTTACATCGGCGGTAGGCCGGGAACAGTGGCGTGCTGGGTACTATTTTTCTGGGGGGGCCAGTCGGCTGGCAACTAATATGCGCCCCTATAATATTACCCTTGATAAACGAGGGCCGAAGGCACGAGCCGAGCCCCGCAGGTGGGAGGTTTGTCTAGGGGGGTCCGGGGGCATGCCCCCCAGGAAAATTTTTGAATTTAGAGTCTCTGAACTGCCATTTCCTGGACTTTGGGGGAAGATTTGACAGAAATCTGATGGTCAGGAAACGGCATTACAACGTGTCGAAATTTTAAAATTGGTTAGAATTTAGTGGTAGCACTTAAATTGGGCAATGCTAACTACTTCCAGCAATTAATCTAATCCCAATTCTATTCTCTACTGATCTGAATACATTTACAACTTACAGCTCTTTTATACGATAACACACGGACCCCACGCATATGCATTTTAAGGTTTCCTTGCCTGGCTGCTAAAAGGGCGTGTTTCATCATTATCTCATTACTTACATTACTCATACTGTTTCTTGCGCAAACAACTAAATTGCGTACACAACTTGACATTATCATAACTTCAACTATCTAATTTGCGCCGCTCTCGTGATTCGTGAAGCATACTAAAGGGCATAATATAAGGGTATAATACCAGCAAAAAAGGGCATAATTCCCGTGATCGCTTCGAAGCCTGATCAATATTCCGGTAATGAGACATTGCGTGTGATCACTGATCATGTATTCTATATGAACGAGTGATTTCGTGTGAGTCGTGAGGTAGCAAATACGGTTAGACAAAATAGTCTGCAATTTAATATACTCACTTTGTCGCCTATGCGCTTAGTATGTTTATAAGTCTATAAACACATCTTTCCTTGGCGGATTTAGTAACTATATTTTTTCGAATGTGTTTCTTCCCACCTACTTTCAAAATTCGGCGCGGGATCGGCGCCCCCTTTTCATTTTTGCGCCCCCCAAAAATTGCCAGCTGGGGGGGGGGCGTGGCCCCCCGGCCCCCCCTGCCAGCACGCCACTGGCCGGGAAAGTTGACTTGAGTTCAACTCTGCCGGTATTTCGGCCGCAAGTAGAGGCATAATGATACAGTCGCAGGCATACCGCAGGCATATGTGAACCAGGCTTTAGAGGTAGGGTTTAAGGAGTGTGGTTAGGGTACTAAGTTGACTCGGGCTCGGATTTGACTCGGACTTAACTCGGTTAACTGACAAACTCTGTGTCTGTGAGCATACAGTGAGTTTATGCATATATAGGACATTCAGATTCCAGTTTAGTTTTATATGAAATATACATTGCCATTGGCATTTGTATCATATTAGTTATTTATATTTCTCATGCCTATTATTTTACTGGTATGTGAGCTATGATAGATCACTACATAGGCCGAGATTATTTTATGTTCCTGGTGTTAAATGTCTGGGGCCGGTTGTATCAAGCCCGTTTAGCTTAAACGGTGGTTAAGCTCAAAATAGATAGCAAGTCTATAGATTCATTCAACAGCCAAACTAAAAGTGTTGAACCTTAATAGAACGATATTTTTTACAACTACGTATTCAGTGCAGAATATTTAAGTTAACTGATTCACGAGAGATATAAGAGTGTTATTTAATTTTGACTTATCCACCGTTTAAACTAAACGGGTTTGATATAACCGGCCCCTGAGGTATAAAAAGTAGAATGTATAGAGGGGAAATTAGGCTTCTTGCCTACAAATTTTATTGACAAGGCTTTTAGCCAGGGCAGATATATTGTTTTAGTTAGTTTTAATATTTATTTCAGGGTTGGGTGTTGTCATTGTTGTGTTGGGTGTTGTCTTTGTTGTGTTGAAGAATTGAAAACTGATACTTGATTCGAATTGATATTGATATATAAATAATTAAATTAAATTGGATGTAATAACGGACGAAAATAAAGTTGAAAAATTAAAATGTTAAACAGAATAGTTCAAAATATTCTACACAGGGTGTCAAAACTGACGTCCAAATCATGGGCGTATGGGCCTAATCTTGTTTTGGGGGCACAGTATAGTTTGTCCGAATAGGCAAACTGAACATAATTAATATTTCTCCCCAAAATTGTTGGCGAGCGGGAGGGGGGGGGGGGTAGGTCACGAAAAATATTTTTCCGGACATACCAAAAAAAATTTTCCAAACATACCAAATACTTTCCTACAAACATACAAAAATTTTGCCGGACATGTCAGAAAATTTTTCCTAACATCTCGTAATTTTCGCAAAGACACAAAAAATTTTTCAGGATATCAAAATTTTGCCGAAACTTTTATGTTTTGCCAGAATTTCGCATTGATTTTTGCCTGACCGTAAATTTTTTTTTGGGGGGGGGGGACGTGCCCCCTCCCCCCCCGGCCCATGCGGCCTATCGTCCAAATCAGTCATGCACGAGACAAACTGAATATTTTTCAATGAAAATGCTCATATATATACCAAAATCCAGTATTCTCATGAGCATACTCAATTCACCCAAATCGAGTATACTCACGAGCAAGCCTATATATGTACCAAAATTCGGTATACTCGTGCGATAAGAATGCTCATATACACCAAAATATATATAGTATTTATAGTACGCCTATATTCGGCATACATTGTACGGTTACCACTTACCGGTCATACCTTATATAGCCACAAGCCGTGGCTGTAAGGTATGCCGAAAACGTGCAGACATGCCTGACCTGAGGACTTTTATTAGGACAATAGACCTTTAGACCTTAATTATGCATAAGACGTCACAAGGCTTGATGCCCGCGAGGAATGCTGGTCTTAGTGGTCATCGGCCGGGAAATTTCGATAGTGGCCATTTTTAATTGTTTAATTTTCCCGGGCAATGACTACCAAAACCAGCATTCCTCGGGGGCATCAAGCCTTGTGACATCATGTTGCATAAGTTCTATCAGCAACATTATTTTTTTGGTTTTGAATGTTTATATAACGTACATTTTCAATGCGTATTCTGTACTTAAATAGTCCAGAGAGCCCTCGGGATCATTTTGCAATCTGGAGTCTCTAGAATATGAATTCCTGCATTCTGTGAAAATATTTTAATGTCAGCTTCTATACATATGTTACTTTATCCTTAGTTGGGGCCACCTTTAGCATGTGGCCTGCGGCAAATTGTCCCTTTTGCGGTTGGCATATTCAGTGGCCATTGTGGTAAGGAGAGGCCGTCACCCCCCCCCAAAACATTCCAAATGCCGCCTTTGCCTAGACGTTCGGGGGGGGGGGGCGTCTCGTAAGCGTAGTGGCTTTCCTCGATTTAGTAAATTATGAATACCAAGTTTAGTATACAAAAAATGACCGCTGGAAAAATCTGATCACACTGTTCAGCGGTTTCACTTTCCATTTCGGTATCATCTAGCGCACAAAACCTTCAATTGAAATGTACTGCGAGGTACTGTCAGTCAAAAAGACTCATATTCTTCAAAATTTGGCGTTCTTTCTAATTTCTTTTATTGTAAATTATTAAGAAAAAACCTTTTTGTGGTGATAAAAGGAAAACTTGAATCTAATCATGTCTCATCAATACGAAGAGAGGCATAAAAGAACACACACTACAGGCAAAGTTGGCAAACATGAATGTGATGTTTGTAAGAAGAGATTTCGGCAATCAGGTAATTTAACTATACATAAAAGAACACACACTGGAAACAAACCTTATGAATGTGATGTTTGCAAGAAGAGATTTAGACATTCAAGTAATTTAGTTACACATAAAAGAACACACACTGGATACAAACCTTATGGATGTGATGTTTGTAAGAAGAGATTTAGCCAATCATGTAGTTTAACTATACACAAAAGAACACACACTGGAGACAAACCTTATGAATGTGATGTTTGCAAGAAGAGATTTATACAATTAACAAGTCTTAATTGGCACAAAAAGAAGCATTTGTTCTGCAATAGTTGCCAAATGGAGATTACTCAACCACAAAATTTGCAAGAACATTTTGTTCAGGATAAAAATACGGGAAGGTATGCTTGTAACAAATGTAACAGGTTTTATGACATTGGTTCAACATATAGCAAGGCAACATGGCAATGATGGAAACTATCAATGTGGTTTATGTCAAGAACTGGAGTCAACAGAACCAACTGGTGTTGGATATGTTTGTTGTGTTTGCGATGTCGTGTTTGATGTTCCCAGAGATCTCGAAGATCACATAGCCACCCATGAGTCAAACTAATTATTGTTGCCGGCTTATATTTGAGTGTACAGCGAGTTTATGCATATGTAGGAAATTCAGATTTTATATGAAATATACACTGGCATTTGCATGTATCAAACTAGTTATTTATACTTTTCATGCCTATTATGTACTGCTACACGAGTTAATATAGATCACTACATAGACAAAGATTATTTTATTACCAAAATCAGTAAAATACAAGTTCCATGCTGCATTCGATCTCGTACCCAGAGCCATGGCGCGCGGCTCTGGGTACAAGATCGCGCTGCATTCCTTCACCCTGACGTCATAAAGCATGAACGTTTCTACGGGGCTTCTGACTGTTTTTTTCAACTTCCGGAAAAGACACTCGATCTACTGATTTCGGTAATATGTTCCTGGACTTCCTGGTGTTAAATGTCTAAAATTATAAAAAGTAGAATGTACACAGGAGGAAATAATAGGCTTCTTGTCTACGAATTTTATTGACAAGG